AAGGAATGCCAACATTTTGGCCCTAACCTTCTAAGGTCAATTAAGACTCAGGACATACTAGCTGTCATTATTACTATTTCATGATCATGCCAGCCTGCATTTTCTGGATGGAAACTTTTGGACCAGTTCATCCCATGATGAGGCATTTGGCAGAAGTTTGGGAACAGCTCATCTGCAGGAAGAGTGGCAATGCCAGGGGAAAGCAGCGGCCCCACCCTACTGCAAATGTTGGCTAAGTCCACAGGATGGGTTTCACCAAAGTCATATCTAAAACTTCACTTATGTGTTGGGGAATTGTGATGTTTTATCTTTATTGTGCAGAAACATACCCTAGGAGAGTGGAATGATTGCTGAATATGTCCCCATTTTGTTTACCACATGACCTGGCCATGACCATTTTCAGTTCTTTGTTACTTATTTCTGGTAGAAAAATGCAGCAGAGGGCTGGTGAGATAGCTCAGTGGACTAAGTGTCTGCTTAAGCAAGTGCAGGGACCTGGGTCAATCCCTGGCACCACATACTGTGCCAGCCCTTCCCCTGGGTGCACTGAGCCAGCCACTGAGACTGGGCTTGATGGCTTATGCCTGTAATTCCAGTGCTGTGGAGGCTGAAAACAGGAGGATCACTATGAGTCCGAGCTTGGTAGTGAGATGCTATACCAAATACATAAAAGAAAAGTGCAGCAGAGACTGATGTAAGTTCTCAGACACCTGCACAAAACCAAAGCTTCCCTTACACTCCAGGGAAATCCAGACTCGGGAAGTCTCCTGAGTGCCTATTCTTCCGAGCGAGACAAGATGGTAATGGTGGTAGGGGGATGGACTGGTGTGGGCCCAAAACCAAAAACCAAAAACCAAACCAAAACAGGTATGGGCCTGTGGCCCCTTACCCAAACATGGTGAAGAAAGGAGGAGAAGCTTGGGTTGTGTTTTCTGTTCTGTTGCCTCTGGCTGTTAAATCATCACCCTGAAGGATGATGTGAAGAGAAAGATTCTGGCTGGCTGGGCCTAAGTTTGCTTTCTATTTGTTACACAGCAATGAAAACATTTGGAAATTTTTCTTAAGAATAAAATTTATCAAGAGAATACCGTTGGTCATCCCTCAGTATCTGCAGGGGACTGGTTCCAGCAACCCCAAACAACAAAGCCTGATACCTTATATTTATTTATTTTAATCTTTTATTATTTATTTATTTGGTACAGGATCTTGCTACACAGCTCAGACTTGTAGTGATCCTCCTGTCTCAGCCTCCCTAGTGATGGGATTGCAGGTGTGTGCCACCACACCCAGTTTCAGTGGTTGGCACCGGGGGCTGGCATGGCTTGTGGTACCGGGGATTGAACCCAAGTCATTGTGCTTGCCAGGCAGGCACTTAGACTGCCCAGCTATCTCCCCAGCCCAAGTCTGATACTTTATAAAGTTCTCATAATATTTGTAATAGCATCACTTAGTGAGAAAGTCAGTGCTTGGACCAAAAATAAAGATAGCATAATTTTCTTAGATTTTGGACTT